ATGGACATCAAAAAGCTTCCCCAACAGGGTAAAAAGGAAAGCCACAGACTGGGAAAAAATATTTGGTAATGAGCGTAGAGAAGCCAAAGCACAAGAAAGAATTCAAGATACTAAAGAGCTGAACAGATTTCAAAAGGCAGTGCGGGATGACAAAGTAAAATATTACAATGAAATGTGCAAGGAGCTGGAGTCAGAAAACCAAAAGGGTCGAACTTGCTCGGCATTTCTTAAGCTCAAGGAACTGAAGAACAAATTTAAACCTCGAGTGACTATAATCAAAGATGTTTTAGGCAGAATACTAAATGATTAAAAGAAGATAGAAAGAATATACTGAGTCATTGTATTGGAAGGAATTGGCAGACACAGAAGAATTTAATGGAATAACATAAGTGCAAGAGCCTATGGTGATGAAGGAAGAAGTTCAAGCTGCTTTGAAGGAAATAGCAAAAAATAAGGCCCGAGGAATGGATGGTATACCAATTGACATATTTCAGCTAACAGATGCTGCCCTGGATGTGCTCACCAAGTTGTGTCAAGAAATCTGGAGAACAACCACTTGGCCAACTGACTGGAAGAGATCTATATTTGTTCCCATTCCAAAGAAAGGTGACCCAACAGAGTGTGGAAACTATAGAACAATATTGTTGATTTCAAATGCAAGCAAGATTCTGCCGAACATTATCTAAAAATGACTGGAACAGCACATCAGCAGAGACCTGCCAGAAGTCCAGGCTGGGTTTAGAAGGGGTCGTGGTACTAGGGATATTGTAGCTAATGTTAGATGGATCTTGGCTGAAAGCAGGGAGTACCAGAGGAATGTCTATCTGTGCTTCATTGATTATGCAAAGGCATTTGACTGTGTGGATGATAACCAACTGTGGCTGACTCTGCGAAGAATGGGAATCCCAGAACACTTGACTCTGCTAATGCAAAACTTATACTTGAACCAAGAGGCAGTCGTCAGAACAGAGCAAGGAAACACTGCAAGGTTCTAATTTGGGAAGGGCGTACACCAGGGATGTGTCCTGTCTCCATACCTTTTCAACCTGTATGCAGAACAGATCATCCGGGAGGCAGGGTTCTATGAGGAGAAATTCAGCATCAGGATTGGTGGAAGATCTATCAACAATCTGCATTATGCAGGTGACACAATCCTACTTGCTGAAACTGAGGAGGATCTGAAGCACTCTCTGCTGAGGGTCAAGGACTGCAGCCTTCAATATGGATTGAGGCTCAATGTCAAGAAGACAAAGATTCTCACCACTGGACCAATTCTCAGCATCAGGATGGATGGTGAAGAAATTGAGATTGTTCACCGCTTTAGTCTGCTTGGCCACACAGTCAACACTCTCGGCACCAGTAGCCAGGAAATTAGATAGCGTATTGCTATGGGAAAGTCTGTTGTTAGGGACCTCTCTCTGGAGACTAAGGTGCATCTGGTACAGGTCATGTCTTTGCAATCACTTGTTATGCATCAGAGAGCTGGACAATGACCAGGGAGGATAGAAGGAGAATTGACACTTTTGAGCTTTGGTGTTGGAGAAGAGTGTTGAGGGTACCATGTACTGCTATGAAAAAAAAAAAAACAGATTGATCCTGGAGAGGGTTAAATCGGGCTGCTCCTTTGAGGCAAGGATTCTGAGGCTTCTTCTGACATACTTTGTTCATGTTGTAAGGAGAGACCGGTCCTTGGAGAAGGACATCATGCTTGGGACGGTGGAGGGCAGGAGCAGGAGGGGAAGGCCCTCTGGGAGGTGAATTGATTCGGTGACTGGGACATTGTAGATGAGTGTGTCGTTTACCATGAGATTGGCACAGGACAGAGCAGAGTTTAGAGCTGTTGTTCATAGGGTAGCTATGAGTCGCAAGCGACTCGACGGCACATACAACAACAGCAACAATGATATATCTGATAAAGGACATATATCTAGAATTTATAGAGTATTCCAGCACCTCAACAAAATAAAAGTAAACAACCAATCACAAAGTGAGCACAGGATATGAACAGACACTTCACCAAAGAAGACATTTAAATGGCGAACAAACACATGAAGAAATGTTCAAAATCCCTAGCTCTAAGAAAGATGCAAATCAAAACTACTATGAGATATCATCTCACCCCAGTAACAATAGCAAAGTTCAATAGAGCAGCAAACAATAAATGCTGGCAAGATTGTGGAGAAATTGGAGCCCTTATTCACTGATAATGGAGGTGTAAAATGATGCAACCAAGATGGAAGACAGTATGGTGCTTTCTCAAAAAGCTGGAAATAAAAATAACATTTGACCCAGCAATTGCACTACTGAGAATATACCCTAATGAAACCAGAACTGTTAGTCAAACATAATGCACATCCATGTTTATTGCTGCATTGTTCACAATGGCAAAGAGATGGAAGAAACCCAAGTAAGTGTCCATCAACAAATTAATGGATAGGGAAGCTGTGGTATAGTCACACAATGGAAAGCTATGCAGCACTGAAAAAATAAGGAACTCATGAAATATTATAAAAAATGGGGGACCCTGGAGGACATTATGCTGAGTGAAATATCTCTGTCACAAAAGGTCAGATACTGCATAATAACACTATTATAAAACAGGATTGACATGAGAGCTGAGAGGAAACTAAATAAGGGGGGATAAAAAATGAACACTGCACTTAAATTGATGAGGGAAAGAAACTCTTAAACAAATATATGATTAGGTATTATTTGCATGACAATAGTGCAGAATGAGAGGTGCATAGCAAAGTGGGTGGAGGTGGAGAGAAAAAATTGTACAACAATGAGAATCTTAATAAAGAGAAAAGCAAACTTGAAGGGGGTGGCTAGGGAGGAAAATATGGAACAGCGAATGAATGGAAATACAATTTTTCTGTAAACTTTTCATTAAAATATCAATAAAAATTAAAAAAAATAAGAAATGAATAGGACTGCTGGGTAAAAAGCATACACAGTTTAATTTTAGAAGGTAAATATTGTCAAAATTTTTTTTAAGTGGTGATACCTTCACTATCCTCTAGGTCTGTGAAATGCCAAATCTTCATTAATTTCTGGGTATAAAACAATACACAGGTAGGGAAGGGAGAAGGATATCCATGAATAGCATTGCCTCAGCAAAAATAGAAAGGAAAAAAACCCTCTACTTACTCTAAAAACTTATTAAGACAATGAAAAGTGCTATTACAGACTGGGGAAGGAAAAATACAAAACACATATATCTCTCACAAATCACTTGATACTATATATAAAAGATATATACAGAGAAATTATATTACAATCCAATTATTTTAAAAGATAAACGAAAGTATTTGAAAAAAGAATGATAAAGAACACCAAGAAAACAAAGATTCTCACCACTGGGCCAATTGGCAGCATCAGTATGGATGGTAGAGATTGAGATAGTTAACAGTTTTAGTTTGCTTGGCTCCACAATCAACACTCTTGGTAACAACAGCCAGGAAATCAAGAGACCAATTGCATTGGGAAAGTAGGCTGTGAAGGACCTCTCAAGAGTACTGATGAGCAACAACGTCAGGCTGGAGACTAAGGTGCTCCTGATCCGGGCTATAATCTTCGCAATTATATGCTATGTATCAGAGACTTGGACAGTGAATAGGGTTGATAGAGAATTGATGCCTTTGAGCTTTGTTGCTGGTTGAATATAGCATGGACTGCTAGGAGAACAAACAAGTTTGTCCTGGAGAAGGTGAAGCCGAAATGCTCCTTAGAGGCAAGGATTCTGAAGCTTCATCTGACATACTTTGGGTATGTTGCAAGGAGGGACTGGTCCTTGGACAGGGACATCATGTTTGGCAGAGTGGAGGTGGGGGTGAAGGAGAGGAAGACCTTTGATGAGATGGATCGATTCTGTGACTGGAGCGGTGGGAATAAGTGTGTTTGAGAGGCTAGGTTGGCACAGGATAGAACAGCTATTTAAAGCTCTTGTACATAGGGTCACTAATAATGGATGGCACATAACAACAACAATAGCATTAAAATTAAAATATGAGAATTTCATTGTCATTGAGTCAGACCCCAATTATAGCTAGTTCTCCCATGGATGTTCCAGGCTGAAAATCATCCTGGAGAATATTGTCCATTTTTCTGCCATAGAGCTTTCTCATTATCCTTAAAAATAGTTTTATTTAGTTGTCTTTTTTGTTGAAAATGTTCCTATAAGAACTTATACCAATTCAACCTTTCTACATGTACAATTTAATGATACTGATTACTTTCTCCAAAATGTGCAAGTATTTTTACCTTTCTTGACTCATTTTTTATTTTTTTTTGTTGTTGTTATATGCCATCAAGTCACTTGCGACTCATAACTACCCTATGTATAACAACAGCCCTAAACTCTGTTCTGTCCTGTGCCAATCTCATTGTCTCCGACACACTCATCCTGATTACCCCAGTCACTGAATCAATTCATCTCCTAGAGGGCCTTCCCCTCCTGCGCCTGTCCTCCACCCTCCCAAGCATGATGTCCTTCTCCAAGGACCGGTCTCTCCTTACAACATGAACAAAGTATGTCAGACGAAGCCTCAGAATCCTTGCCTCCAAGGAGCAACCCATTTTAACTCTCTCCAGGATGAATCTGTTTTTTTTCTTAGCAGTCCATTGTACCCTCAAAACTCTTCTCCAACACCAAAGCTCAAAGACATCAATAGTCCTTCTATCCTCCTTAGTCATTGTCCAACTCTCTGACGCATAACAAGTGTTTGCAAAGACCATGGCCTGTATCAGACTCACCTTAGTCTCCAGAGAGACACCATTGCTCTTCAGCACTTTGGAGAGGTCCCTAACAGCAGACTTTCCCATGGCAACACGTCTTTTAATTTCCTAGCTACTGGTGCCGAGAGTGTTGACTGTACAACTTGAGGGTAGAGTGCATAAAAATCACATTTTCCAGGTATCTTACCCTATAGTTCCTTTGAAAGTAGATAGAGGTATATGAATGGATAATACTTTTCTAACAAAATTCTCTTTTTTTTAAGGAATTGGTGTGCTTATGTACATACCAGACTCTCTCCCACAGTGATATTGGACAACCAGGTGACTTATGTTCCAAGTGGGACAGGATCCTGTGGTTGGCCCAGAGGACTCTGTGCCCAGAGGTAAGTGGTGTTTCTTGGGCATAGCCACGTGTCTGGGCGATATAAAGGACATCAGTCATGCTACAAACATGTGTCTCGGGCAAGATTATGGACATCACATTCAAATAAGAGCTGTAATCTTGGATAAGTTAAAGTACAAATACTATTACTATCTATTTCATATGATTCATTTTAGAATCATCAGAGAAAATGTAATTAGGTTCTTTGTCTAGTTAGTATCTGGTACACTGTGAGCCTTCACTGACAGAATCTCGTGCAATTCTTATTTTTGCTCTAACATTTATTCCATGATCTTTTAAATAATTCTGTTTTTTTAATTAATCATTTTAGTCACACGTAGTCACAAGTATTTCTTGATAATTTTCCTTTCACTCTAAGTCATAGATGAGTCCACAACTTGGCTCATGTCTTGAAATTCCTAGAAACCCACTAAATGCAATTATCCATTAGTAAAAAGTAAAACAGTCAAGTGAGCTATTTTTTCTTGTATCTATTCTAATAACTTATTTGTTTTCATTTTTAAAACAGCCCATAACATTTTCCTAAAATGTGAGACTGAGCAATTGATACATTTTTCTAAATTCCTACAGAGCAGCTCAGCTGGCGTTTCAGAAGAGCCTGTTATAAAAAATGGAAATTGTTATTCAAGTCGTGATGGCTAGTGTTATGCAAATTGCCACACAAATAACTCAGACAATGAACCTGACACATTGGCAATTTGGAACAATGTGTAATAAGGATACATAAAATCAGGGTCTTTCTTAGACCCTTGAGGGAGTACAGAGGCTCTTGGGCAGAAGAACTAAAGCACATCTCAGGGATTTGGGAGACCTGCGCTCCAATTCTGCTTTTAGCATTTATTCCCTTTGTGAGGATATCCTCGCCAACAAGACATACAAAGAATGCATTGTTAATTCTTCAGTAATGGAAATATTTCATCAGTAACCCATATCATTCTGCCTTTGTGAGGTCAAGGTGAGTTCTTGCTCACTTTTTAAATAAACCAGAAAAATTTCTCTTTATTACATATTTCTAGTTTATTCTCCATATATTTCTGCATTGGCAGAAATTTCAAAAAGTATGTAATGCCTATCACTTAAAAAAAATGTCTGAGCAACACATTAGAAATCCAGTTTGCCAAAACAGGAAAATTGACTTCAACAATAACAAACTGGATGCTTCTTTGTTGCTTTTGTTTTTAGCTGCCATGGATCCAGCTCAGAATCACGGTGACATCATGCACAACAAAACAAACTACTTCTCTCCTGTGCCATCCTTTAATCAGTTGCAGATAGGAACTTTGTGAGGAATAGGGCATTCACTGACAAATAGTTTTAGAAGTAAAATTATTATCAAGCCTTTCTTCCTAGTCTGTTTTAATCTAGAAAGTATGCACAGCATAATAATAACATACAAGCTTCCAATGTCAGAGGAGTGATGGTTGTCCTTTTTTGTTGTTGGTGTTTTTTTAAAAAATTTTGATAGGGAATTGAATCCAGGCCACTTTCACGTTGCTACATGCCACTGAATCTAGTATGACTCACAGTGACTCACGGAAATGTTGCCACATATTGTCCCATTCTCATGATCTCTATCATGCTCAAACCCATTGTTGTGTCATTGATATATCTCAATCCATCTGTAGAGGGCCTTCCTTTCTTTTTCTTTTTCTTTACTTTTCCCAGCATGATGTCTTTTTCCAAAGACTGGTCCCTCCTAACAATATGTGACAAGTATATGTAAGTGTCACTATCTTTGCTCTAAGGAGGATGCTTGTTGCACTTCCTCTAAGAAAGATTTGCTTGTTCTTTTGGCAGTCCATGTTCATATTCAGTACTCTTCCCCACCACCACAATTCAAAGGTATTGATTTGTCTTCTGTCATCCTTATTCATTGACAACTTTCAGAAGCATAAGAAAAAAATAAATACCTTGGTTTGCTTCAGGCTCGTTTTAGTCTTTAAACTGATATCTTTACTCTTTTAACATTTTAGCATGTCCTTGACTACATATGAAACAATGCAAAATACCATAGCTTAGGTCAGGCACACCTAAATCTTCAGACTGATAACTTTTCAGGTCACCTGCATAAATGAGAAGAATTTTACTACTAAACTAAAAACTCTATAAAAAAACAAACCTCTAAAAAGTCTGGCCCTTCCAAACTGCCTTGCTTTCTACTTGGCTTTTGCTGTTGGAATATTCAGTGGACATAAAAACTACTTGAATTAAATTTATTGGGGAGGGGGGAAGTAGGGGGGAAGTAAGCAAATAATTAGTTTCATTTTAGGGTGGAAAAACATTATTGCTTATTTTGCAGCTGAAGACAACTTACAAATAGTGACATTTACTGACATCCAAGCAGATATATGCACACACTCATGTTTATCATGGCTTTGTTCACAATAGCAAGGAGGTGGAAACAGCCTAAGTGCCCATCAACAAATTAATGGATAGAGAAGCTCTGGTATATTCACACTATGGAATACTATGCTGCATTGAAAAAACAAGGAACTCATGCAATATTATTCAAAATGGGTGACCCTGGAGGACATTATGCTGAGTGAAGTATTTCAGTCACAAAAGGACAAATACTGCATAGTGCCACTGTTGTAAAGTAGGACTGACCTCAGGGTTTGGAAGAGACTGAGAAAGATGGCTTCAATAATGTATACTACATTGAAACAGATGAGGGATAAAACTGTTTAAGAAGGAAAATTATTAGGGATTTTTGTCATGACAGGAGTCCAGAATGAAGGCTGCATAGTGGAGTGGACCTGGGGGGAGGGATTGTAAAACAGTGAAAGAATTTTTCTTTCACTTTTCCAAGAGGGTAGTGTACTAAGGGGGAAGGTTGGGAGGGGAGAAAAGTGTAACATGAATGAATGGAAATCCAAAGTCTCTGTAAATTTTCCTTGAAATTAATAATAAATTTTTTAAAAAGTATATTAAAACAAAAACAGTGACACTTATTGTTGAGTTATAGCAATATCAAAGCTTAAGAATCCTAATGTCATTTTAGTATTTGTCCTTTATATGTTCAAGGTTTATTCATGAAAATAACTAATGCTGTTTCTACATAAGTGCTGGGAACAGATAAGACATGGCAAGATGGGAGGCCCACTCAGCCTAGGCTGAGGTAGAGTCTATTGCGTTTAGCTATGAAATAAATATGAAATATCAGCAGATAATTGAATATGTATGTTGTTGTAGTTAAGTGCCATTGAGTCTAGCACAACTCATAGTGACCCTATGAACAAAAGATCTGAACCTTGTTCTATAACGACTGTCATTTTTCTAAGTTTATAATTTCCAGAAACATGTTCTTTAGGAAGTGGATGCCGCCCCTGCTTCCAAGCCTGTCTTAATCTGGGAGCTCCATCAAACACTGTCCACCATGGATAGCCATTATGACATTTGATACACCAGTGGCACAGCATTCAACAACACAGCAACCCTAAGTTACCTCACTACAGCAAATTGACAGACCAGTGCAGTACCACTTAGAAGAATGTTCATTCCAATCAACAGCAGGCCTGAGGGCCAAAGGCCAGAGGGCCCAACTGACTTTTAAATACACAAGCCCATTCACCAGGTCCTGATTAACTCTAAACAAGAGGCTTCCAGCACACAGCTCACTGTTAGCCAAATCCAGCAAACAAAATCAGCTCTTACACAGTTGTGAAAAAATAAAAACAACAAAATAGTCCACACCTGACCCTCAACCAAAACAAGAAGAACCTACCTTCTAGAATCCAGCTACTTTACACGTGAATCTGCAAACTGGTGATTATTTATCACTCATTTTCATTGTTGTTGTCGTTATGTGCTGTAGAGTGACCTGCAACTCATAACAACTCTATGTTAAAGGAAGCAAAACAAAACCTATGAAAATAACACAAGAAACTAGGCATCAATTCCTTTGACACATCTGACTAAATATTAGTTAGCTAAATACTGAAATTATGGGGATAAGAACTATATAGTCAATATGAGGTACATATGCAAACATAGAACCTGTGATTTAGTACTAATCATTATTTAATTTGATTGTGTGTTGAAATGTTAATTTCTTCATTTTCCCTCCTTTTTTCCTTCATAAATGGTATCTTCTCATGTTAAATTACTCTTAATTTCTCTCTCTTTATAAATCACAGAATGAATAGATATTATGATTCGTTTAAAAGGTGAGAAATAATAAAGTGAAGATTGAATATGTTAGTGATTATTATAATTTTAATTGGATCATAAAGACTCAATTTATTTCAAGTTCTTTTAATTATAATGATATAGAAAATAATATTAATTGAAACAGAAATAAGTTAACTCTGGTATAACTATTTAAACTCTGGAATTAAAATAAGTTTTAACATTGGTTTAACAAAAGACATCATAAATTGAAAAACTATACTGTCTTAAAAAAGTAATGAGTTACCAATTTAAAATACCAAACCATGTAATCACTAGTGCTTTCATAATACATTTTAAAATCCTGTCAATAATATTGAGATTAAATTTATTATAGAATAAGAGCTAACATTAAATGTTTATTATAGTTTAGGCATTTCCCTAGTAATTTTACATTTATTACCCTCTTCAAGTGACAATTGAATGTGAAAAAAGAATCTCTTCCCATCTCTTTTCTCTCTAGGTCTAAGAAAATATCAAATCCTGTCTATAGAATGCAACATAAAATTGTTACTTCATTGGATTGGAAGTGCTGTCCTGGGTTCAGTGGTCCAAAATGTCAGAAAAAAGGTACATATTTTATATATATGTTTTTTAATATGATAATATCTTAACTGTACTCATTTACATAACAATTAAGAAATGTACAAATTCCAAAGAAAAAAACCAGTTGATTCTAATTCTAATGTAAAAAAAATTACTTGCTTTCTCATTTTTGAACTAAGGTAAATAAAAAAATAGTGCTTTACAGTGCCCTACCTGGGACATTATTTTTAAAACGACGAGGGTCAATGAATGAGAGGAAGATTCCAAACAAGAAGAATTGACATGGCGACTTCAGCAATAGATTCTAGGGTGTCAGAGATAATGAGGATGACACAAGATAGGGTGTGATTTAGGCCGGCTGTTCATAGGGTCACTATGAGTCATACTCAACACCATCGACCTGCAACAACAACTGGATCTCAGCTACAAAGTAAACAAACCTTCAAAACAATTGCTGTCAAAGTGATTCTAGTTCATGGCCACCTCATATGTTCCAAAGTAGAATTGATCCACCAAGTTGTCTTAGTTGGACTATTTGTAAAAGACAGTCTACAGATCTTTCTTTTTCTGCTCTGTGGGATAAGTTTGAGCTCTGAAGCTTTAGAACAGTTGTTGTTGTTGTTGTTTAATGCCATCGAGTCGTAGATGACTCATAGCGACCCTATGAACGAAAAGCCTGAGCACTGTTCGTACATAGTTTCCGGAGGCAAGCCATTTTGGAAGTGGATGGCGCTCCTGCTTCCAGGCTTGATTTAGTCGGGAAGCTCCAGCCAACACTGTCCACCATGGATGCCCATTACCACGATTGGCACATCACTGTCACAGGCTTCAGCATCACAGCAACCACAAGTTACCTCTGTACAGCAACGCACAGACCAGCGCCATAGTCAGAATTAAGTCCCTTGTCATCAAGTCAATTCCACCTCAAAATACCTCTACAGTACAGAGTAAAACTACCCCATAGGGTGTTCAAATATATATTATTTGGGAAGCTGACTGACGCATCTCCTATTAAATGGCTGCTGGGTTTGACACCTGACCTTTCAATTAGTAGCTGAGAGTTTAATTACTGTGCCATCAGGGCTCCTTGATAGCGTCTACTATAGTACCTATAATCTCATAAACTATCTTTGAATTTCCCCTTCCATTTTTTTCTTGATTTTATGTAAGTAGCTAGAGATCTAACTGAATATCTTACTTGTTTTTAATTGTAAAGTCATGCCATGTTAATATACCAAATAATAATGATACATTTAAATTATTTAGAAATGGTATTTTTGTTAAGATAATTATTTAATTCTAATTTAATAATTTGAAGTAAATATTTAACTTATGCATGAAATGAAATTCTAAACACTTTCCTTAATATTCCATGAATAATTCTGTCTTTCTTTTTAAATTCTAAGAAGCCATTTTTTTTCCAACTGGGATTTTCTGGTGACAAAGCTCATGAAACACATGATAACCTCCTGTGGCCCTAGCATCTCTGTGACTGTTCATTTGCTTTTGACTTCAAAGAAGTTTCTTTTGAAAAATAAGATGTGGCATCAGCATACATATTTTAGATGAATGGATATTACAAGAAAGGCCATTAGCAGTGGTAGGCAATCCAATCAAAAGTGTAAGAGACTGTGATTAAAAATTAATTTAAGTGTGAAGAAGCCATTATAATTCACATTAAGAACAAGACAGTCATCACACAAAAGCTCTCACAACCTTGTAGTTTAGTTAAGGATATTATACATAGATTTGCTAACCCATACAGTATGAATCAATAGCCAAATTACTCTGGAAATGACCTGAATTTCAGGGCTATTTTTAAAATAGAATACATTTTCAGAGTATATCATAAATATATACTACATGTACAACCAGAAATATGAACTTTTAAAGAAAATATCATATATACAGAAAACATGGAAATGAGACATTTTTTGCATACTCTTAAAAAATACCAAAATGTGACCTACAAGCACTTCTGATTTTCATAAAGTTGCTTACATTTGGTCACAATGAAAAAAAAATGGTTATTATTACTAAGCTGTATTTGATGGACAGTTTAAAGTTCCAGACAAATGCACAAATGCAGACTATATTGAAGTAAAAAAAAAAGTAGTTGTTAAATATTTCTGGTTTTGTATAAAAGAGAGTATCTTGAAAATGTTAATTTTATTATCATTTCTCAAAGATTCACAGTATGGCTGCAGAACACCTTTCTGGAGATTTAAGATGTCTGTTTAATTCTATTGTATGCAGGACTAAATCTAAGCTATGTGGCAAAGTGTGTATGTCAAAGACCATTAAGAACTTGAGCTCATAAGGGCTGCTTTTAGTGCCATGCTTTGTCCTCTCATATTTACTGAGTTATCATGAACTGCATTCATGATCTACATACATCAGGGCTGGGATTTGTAGAGAATGGGTGACAATCCGTCACTGTTAACAAACACAAGCCAAAAAAACCACCACCAAATTGATGGTTTTACATACCTACTGTGTACTTTCTGTGCACTTTTTGGGAATAACTAGCTTTGTCATTGAATGGCGGCTTGTATTGTAATTAGAAATTATCTGTGGATATCCTTATACTTTGACTTCTCATTCATTGTCTTGCATATCTGTTAATATATATATCCAAGAATAGTTTTGAATCTGAAATTGTCAACCTTGTATAATTGGAACTATTCCCGATTCAGATGTCTGCTGATCAAGCTGTTGTGGAAATGTTTCCATTGTATTGAAATCTATGGAGATGATCTTTGTCCCTTGCAGATACATCAACCCATTGTGTCATATTGTTATACAATCAAATCTCATATAATGGTGATTCTGAAAGAACCTCGTCTGGCTCCCTGCAGTGCTCTGACCATATTATTCTTCATTTTTATTATTGTACATAAAAGCTGTTGAATTTTTCATTAGTGGCAACCAACACACATATAGTATACAGAACTATTGTGTCTCTGTTTTTGTGCCCTTCTTTATCTCTCACCTATACTGGGGTCTTTTGCATCTTTTCTTCTGATAGTGATCCAATTACATGCCAAACACCTCCACCACCACTCTCCCTTCACTATTTTTTTAATACATTTTATGTATGTACCAACAATCTTTCTTTCAGTCTTATGCTTGAGTGAAAATTGTCAGGCTTCTTTTGATAGAAGTGTGCATTCTGTCCTGTGTGACAAGCTGCCTCAAGTCTGGCACCATTAATCAGCTTAGTTGATATTCTTTATACCTCTTCCAAGTCCCCAGCAGATTGAAGTAACCCAGTTATGTAATTACTCTGACAATGACTTCCTTCTAGTCCTTTTCATCATCAGGGGACTATTTAATTGACAGGAAATTGGTAAAATACTACGTAAACTTGTCAAATATCTGCTTCTAACGCGTTTGCTCCTCAATTCATTCTGTGAATTGCTCAGTATAAAACCAATATTTTCTCTTTATTTGGGATGTCAATGAGAATATTTTTTTATTATTGTGATAATATACATATATATAAAACAAAATATTTGTCCTTTTCATAATTTTAACATGTTCAATTGCATGTCACCATGTTTATCATGCTGTAAAACTGTCACTACTGTGTTTTCACATTATATCATCACTTTTAGCAAAAACGCAGTGGATTCTGAGCAATGACTCCTCTTTCCCCCTTCTTATCCTTATTAACCATACTATATTTAGTCTTTCAGTATTCTCTCTCTACATTGTAAGTTGTAAGTATTTCATATGGAAAATGAATATTTGTCTTTTTGTGACTGACATTTTCTCCACTTAAAAGCAAAAAAGTTTGGATCAATGTTGTAGAATGTAACAAGAATTCATTTCTTCTTATGGAGGAGTGACACTTGATTAAGTAAATATGCCAGTTTTGGTTACCCATTGACCATCAGTTGGTGGACATTTAGATTAGAAAGATATAGAGATAGAGATAGAGACATAGAGACATACATAGTGTATGTCTCTATGTCTCTGTCTGTGTCTATCTATCTATTATTATTATTATTATTATTATCTATTAATCATCTAACAGAAAGCTCCACCAAACACAGTCTACCATGGGTCAAGGTGGGTCATTTTAGTCTGCGGCCCTCAGGCCTGGTTTTAATTGTTGTTTATCAAATTTCTTCTAAGTGATGTAGCACTGGTTTGTCCATTTTCTATACAGAGATTACTTGTGGTGGCTGTCATGTTAAACACTGTAACACAGATGTGTCAAATGTGATAATGGTTACCCATGGTGGACAGTGTTTGGTGGAGTTCCCTGATTAAAACAAGCTTGGAAGCAGGAGTGGCATCCACTTGCCAAATAGTTTGCGTCCTGAAACTCTATGAATGTGGAGAAAGGATGAAAGTTATACACGTTTTCAGGTCTTTCATTCTTAGGGTCGTTATGAATTCTCTACAACTCAACAGCACTTAACAACAACAACAACAACTGTTAATAGAGCTGCGCAGAGCATTGGTGAGGATATATTGATTTGTGTTTCTCTTTTTAATTGTTTTTGATGTGTACCTAGAAGTGGGACAATTAGTCACAAAGTAATTCTATATTTAACTTTTTATTTGTAAGAAATATCAATAGATCATGAATAAATAGTCTCTAGCAAATATGTTTTGCTTTATTTCTTTGCTTCTACTTTCCTTTTCATCTTTCCCCCTTATTCTTTTTTCCTCCATCTTTATAAATCCATCTCTAACCTATTAGGAAGCTCTGCTGTGATATAAAGCCTATGGTGCAAATATCTCCATTAACTTATTTCACAATATACTGTTTATAATGTTACCAATCCTGCACATATGTCCTGTAACTACAACGAAAAACCTAAACATTGTTAGCAATAATTAAAAATTATCTTACTAAATATTAAATTTACCAAGAATAATATTTTAATAAATACAACTGGATATTATTCTGTAAAGAAAGAAGAATCAAAATCATCAAAATCATGAAAAGAATAATTGTGAAAAACATTTGAAAATATATTTTTGATGATCATGTTGTTGTTTGTTGTTAA